AATAAAAGTTGTGCTACTAACCAAACATTCAATAAGTATCGTATCCAGTAATTCAGTACTATGCATTTTTATGCAGATAAAGATATGAAAAAAAGAAGTATGACATATTCATAACACTTAGCTATTGCTTGAACAGACAGTTATCACATTTAAAAATGTATGTTTTCATAATTTAAAGATGCCCTTAAGGCTTTTCATGTGTATATTGCTTCATTAAGACTAATTCACCACATATTACAGGTTTGATAAACTTCCAGTTTTTCTCCGTAATGGACTTTAATTAGAAAAGACGGCTGGGTTTTCAGATAAAACCACAAATTGTTCATAAAATAAAGGGTCTAGCAACAGTTACACGTTGCTGAGTTACTGAAGTTCTACACTTAAAATACATACTCCTTTTCTTGAGGTATCAATACTTTCATTTAATATGACTATAACAAAGCCTTTTTACTAAAACCTCGTCAGAGGTTCTTCGTGCTGGTGACTGGTTTTTAAATGGCATTAACAACAGTATAACACAGAATAATACATTGCTGTATCAAGCCACTCCTTTAAGTGATTTCAACTTTAAGCTAATTGGAAAAACGTCGGATAACCTAAAAGATTTGACAGAAGAATACTGATAGCTTGAAAGTAAAGGATTCGTCTTCTAGCCCAATGGTACATATACCTAATTATGGTTTGATTGACCTGGTAATAAGTTTTATGCATGGTACATTGGATAGGGTGCATATATTTCTGTTTGACAAAAACAGCACCGTCAGATGGTTATAAGCCATTGGAAAATTAAGCCCAAACATTTGCACATTTCTTCACACTAAAACAATAACGAGGAAATAAGTCACTTCATTTAGATCTAGATATCTTATTATTATTCTTCGAAATAAGACGAAGATTAATCATCACTTTAAAAATTTCAACGAGTTAACAAGTTTTTATTTTGGAAAGGAGTAACAAAGAAGTTGGAAAGGAAATTAGGATAGAAATCCGTTTTATTACAGAAAAATTATATAAAGGTACATGAAGTTACTTTAGTTCTGAACAGAAACTAAAGTCTATTTTCCGGTAAGAGTTGTCCTCACTGTCTAAACAAAGCAGGCTTCTTGTTTAGTCCAACGAATACGTCACTTTAACCCTATATACGTTACCTCATGCGCTGAATCCTTTTTATTCTTTGTGAGGCCAAAATCTTGGATCTGATCTTTCAGTGTCCACTTCTCAACCTAGATATAAATCTATCAATATCACTAAATATTTGACTGTACACTGACCGAAAGAATTCAATTAGCATTTAGTACTTTGTATTTTCTTCTTCCTTACTAAGCAATACGTCTCACTGTAGTTGGGTTACTTGGAGTCATAACTATGAGAATCTTTTGTAAAGTTCACTTGTAAATGAGATTTATCTTATGCCTTGACGTTGATCTCCATCCACTGACTTCTTACGTCTCCAATACATATTCCAAGCAGTCTACGTTTCTCTCTAAGTTGAAGACCTGCGATTAGTAATTTAATACACTGATATTATGTTTCAGTGTAATCACTCCAAATCAGTATTCTTGCAACCTGATCCCGTATCAGCAAAGATGACGTACTAAGGCATAAAACGGCTAGGAATCACTAGAACATTACCAAATCACTTCATTTTAGTGCCGCTTCAAAACTGAATCGAAAAATTACAATAAATAAAATGAGAATTATCTCTCATGGTTTAAATATACAATTATTATTTTGAACATAATTCTCATCGACCTTCCAAGTGTACCAACCGATTATTTTAAAAGTAAACAAGGTAGAATCAAGAATGCAAAAGCTAGACTAACTCTAAGATGATTTTTATCGGATCTCGCATAATAAACGAAAGTTGTTAGGCGTAAAGAGAGTTGTTCTGCATATTATTGTGAGAATTTTATGATTTTAGCGTTCGGAAATTAAGTTATCATCTTCTATAAAGATTTTTTTATGGGTCAAGTTATTAACATAAATATAAATTTTCGGCTGAGCAGTATGCTTAGTTCTTATAGATTCTAAGACATCCTTCAGCAAAAATTAATGTTGCATAGATAATAGGTGAAAATTAGAACATATCAGACAGCTAATTCTTATGTAGTAACGTCATTTCGTTGGATAACCTTCCTTAAAAGCGTCTGAATACCGTCTGCAAACAATTTTCTTAATATTAGGTCGTCAATAGGCAGTGCATGTCTCTTTATTTTCTCCTTTGATGCCTTTCGTGTAAGATGTAGTAATGCATGCTTAGAATTCAGAAATGATAAACGTACTGAGAAGTCAAAATACACATACCAGACAGAAAATAAACAAAATAATTGTAGGTGTGAAAACGCGAAGTAATCTATGAAGTGACATCGTTTTTACCTATACATTGACATGCCAGAATTAACGCTTATCTATCTATTTAAGAGAAAAATGTTTACTTGGTAACTGCTAATCCAACCGAATTACGCTTGAATTCACCATAGTAACTACTACATCCTACAAAGCGTCTTACTGTATCACTAGCAAACTGTTTGCAATCATTTGCTCCAACAAACCATGACCAACAGAAACTTATATGTCAGGTTCAAAATAAACGTTGAAGTGCAAGATGCCTCCAACCATCCTGAAAGCTCTTTTTTGTAAAATAAGTCAGTTGTCTATAATTAGATTTTAAAATAATTTATAAGTAAATTCACCTAATGTTTGCAACTACAACATATAGCTTCTATATGGAGGTAGATCTCAGTGAGTGATTCCGATCTGCTGCAATATCAGAAGCAGCTTTCAGAATAATAGTCTTCACTGTGTACCCCACAACCAGTCATCTGCAGCAAACCAGTTAAAGTGGTTTAATTACACAGTTTACTAATAATAACATGATTTGTTTCTCATTTAGGAAGAAGTATTAAATATTGTTGCAATTCATGCAAAACATTATTCTTACCAATTTAAGACATGACGAGATAAAGGTTTTTCCAAGCACTAGCATTCAAATGTATGCATAGTTCCTAATCTGATTGCATACTTTCGCTAATAAATTCCTCTATTAAGCTATGAATAGTGAGTTCAAGTCCTGTATGTTCGCAGGTGGCAAAAGGAAGTACAAAAAAAACTAAAGATTGTTTGTTGTTCTTCAAGCTCAAACCTTTCATCACTAAGCTAGATAATTTCATCAGCAACTACTTCATAGACGAGTAAAACACTTCCAAGTTGGTTATTTAGGATACTTGCCAGCCTTGAGAGTTATCAGGATGACTTGTCATGTATTGACTTTTGACAGTGGTTTATCAGATGAGATTTTCCGGGGAATGAAATACTGTTAGAGCACCTGTTTTGACATTTGCTATTGAGATCATAGTTGATAATTGGCTGATTGAAGTTAAATTCCAACTGTTTAATTACTTCCTAGCAAACCGTATTCTGAATATCTGTTCTTTTGCTTGCTGACTGCTATTTCTTTTAAGCACCATGTTTCCAGAACTTCTCTTGCAGTTTTTGATCCGAGATTTCGTAGTGCTATCATTCAATCCCAATCAAAGCCACTGTCGTGAACGTGTAAGTTTATTGAAAACAGTGATGAAACATTAAACTGCTTGACCACTAGATAATGCTTACATATTCAAAAGGATATCCAACGGCTTGACTGACCAACTTTTTAATCTTATCCAGCAAACCTCTGAATATACTGAATTCACAAAAGAAGAAGAACAAAATGACGAAACCATGTGCTTAAATGTCCTTATCATGAGAACACAAGATGAAACCTTATCAACTCAGAGATTTGTGAAGACATCTTATGAATATCAAGCTATAGAATTAATAAACATCAGGCTCTAAAGGTTTATTACTAATCATCTTCAAGCCTCAAAACATGACTGTAAACCCTAGCGTTATACAATTTCCACTGTATTCAAACCTGAGTAACATGCATTTTTTTCTCATCCCTGGAGGCATCTTTCTCAATTAGAACATCCGCAAAACCTTACTCTTGTCAGGGTAACATACTGTTTTGCTAACTACCATAAAAACGTTTCCTAAACAATGTTCAACTTAATATTTTTTAGATACAGCCCTTAACGGATTTTGCAATAAACAGTATAATTGCGACGGTATGACGAATTTTCAACAGTGCTTGGTTGAGATAACTTCACTTCGTTCCAGTATGAAACAGAAACTTCGGATGATGCTTTTTGTCTAAACAGTTGATTTATCCTTTTAAAAGATTAGGAGATGGATTTCAACTGGAGTAGATATACAAAACGTTGATGGATGATTCTACCTACTTTTAGTAACACGGTTTTAATGCGATACAATTTGCTGCACTTGTTTAAATGGTATTATGAATGTTAATAATTTGACGTCTGCATCTAACTTCGTATGGATAACTCTGACTTACTTTAGAACATCATTATCAGTTAGTGTAGCAACACATAGCGAATTGTTTATACTTCCTCTTGTCTGTAACTAATCTAAACAACATATGCTTCCAGCTGCTTTAAACACTGTAATAAAATCTGTTAGGAATCCAAGTAATAAAGCTGAAAGTTATCTCTTACGTTTATTCACTGATTACTAAAATTTTTTATTTCAACAGTTGTTTCAGTCTATTTCTGAATAACTGTCACATACAACGTAAAACAGCATCAGAAAAAAGGGAAGGTAAACAAAATGAAGCGTCAAAAGAGGAAGTGAGTAATATTTCCCTCTATACATATAAATATATACGTTTATATATTATAGTATTTAAAGTATGTTTATATGCGCCTAGTCAGTATCTACGATATGTATAGAAAGTAGTAGGGGATACTTGAACGAATAAGCGAATGAAAGTAAATACCGTTTAACAGTCAGTTCATAATTTTCGAAAAGAAATAGAAATATCCACGGATTCAAATATAAACTATGTAAATATCCTCATGTATATCACTTCAGAATAAATACGAAAGCAGTAAGGACGCTTCTTATTTCCATACATCATAGCATAATCATCATTCAAAAAGAACTTATCTGTCATAATAGATGCTTCTTCTTGACTGTTGGTAACTTGCTACATCTGGTGATGACACTATGTCATCCGCAACTCTGCATCTTGACACGTACATGTATATTGGACCATGAGATGTAACTTGGGCTCCAGTTTGATTATCTGCCTTCAGATAGGTAACCTCATCAACAACTCCTGGACTAGATGTTGGTCGATAACTGGTAACACTACGAGGTCTACTTCGCTCCCTTATTTCATATTTGCGTTCGATACTGACTGGCCTACTGTTTCGATACACGTAAACCTCCTCCGGTGTAGGTGAACGACGTACGACTTGTCGAGTTACTGGTCTTACATACACTGGTGAAGGGGTGCGTGGTTGCCTTTCATAGTCTATGTATGTTCTGTTCTGCTCTCGTGGGACAGTAATAACTGTAACTGGACCATTTCGAGGTGGAGACTCATGATAGTACGTCGGTGACACAGATATCTGACGGATAGGTGCAGAATCTCTCAGAATATATTGTGGGTCTTGCTGAGCCTTGATAATTGTATTCCGTAGTAAACCAACATCTTCGGGCCGTTTACATTTATACGACTCATATGTACGTCTGCCAGTTCTTTCATCTTCTACCCCTAGAGTAAAGCAATCTGGTCGACTTCTGTGCTCATAAAAATGTTTTATTTCTCTATACGTTAAATCTGGTCTGTATGAACTAGATCCCGTAGCTCTACTTTTTTGAAATCTAACTCTGTCTACCAAGCAATACATAGAACCATGAGACTTCCTTCTTTTATAGTGTTTTTCTATCAAATTGTCAGCTGCATTTGGGTCAAACGCCTCTCCGCTCTTCAACATAGTTCTTCCCATTGTGCACGTTGAAGCTTCTTGAAAAAGTAGCTGTTTGCTCTTGCTGTCCACATAATGATCACCAACTTGAGAATAGTATGTTCGACTTTTTGATCGAGTGCGCGATGTCATATCGTAAGTTGCTATTAAGCCTGAACAATTAGTTAGGACTTAAATGCTCGCTATACACTAAATGTGTTCAAATGACAAAATGCTTAAATGTGTTTCTTAATGTGAAGTTTTTATATCAATTGTAGCGAAAGAGGCATTTTTAAAGCCTTCTATAGAAGTTGAATCGTTTGTGTGACCTTGAAACATTCCTTTAAAAGATTTTTAAGTGGGTGTTTCTATTCACTTTCTTAAGTAATCGTGACCAGGCGTGTCATTTTCAACAGACATACAAGATTGTTAACTCAGATGTGCTATCTTGTGCGGTCGTAATTCTATTAGATAATTCAAATACCCATAAGAAAACACAGTCTTACTGCTGCAATCTAAGCAACCGAATTTAAACCATGCTCGCACTCTAAACACATTAGAATGAACGTAGAATTTATAATGCATTTTAATGAATGTATGTCTTATTTTCCAAAGTCATATAACCTTCCTATCAATCGAGATCACTAAACTCACATAGGTGCCAGTTTTATAAGGGCTTCCAAAAGGTGACTAGTTATCAACGTATGAAACACTGAAGATACTAATTCCCATTTAATCCTTTAAAATGTTGGCGTTGTGGCCTATTTAGACTCCTCTTTGAAAGTAATATGGTGAAAACTGAAAAATCATCACATAAGATGCAATTCATCTGTTGAGTGTTCATCATCTAACTTTTCTTTCAACTATAAGTTACACCACTGCCACAGTCGAAATAACTTCCATTGAATCAGTTTAGTCTACCTTGTTACATTGAGTGGTCACTGGAGGGAAACCGGTTCTATATTGTCTAGTCCTTAGTGCTGACTGGAATCCATTAACCATTTTGCAACGTTACTACCAAGCTAGAAGGCTTACCAGTCACAGCAAGCACAAAACCTATATCTAAGGCTTACTGCTGATTCCCTCTAACCAACTAATAATGTGCCTTTTTCTTTTTCATATACAAAGGAGTGGAGTATGTCTGCAGCTCACTTGTATGGTGTCGAGGTCCCCAGTTAAGTTGACGATAACTGTCGTTTTCTTTATACACCATCTCATGAGAATAAACTCAGGTCTGTGTTCATAATATAATCAAGAGTTAAAATGATAATTCTTAAATGAAATATCCAGCCAGCATGTGGCAACACTGTCGAAACCTATTCCACTGATATAACTAGAAACAATTTCACTGTAAGCACTTCATTTGAACCCATTAGCAGTTATTATTTTCACCAGTTTATTCTACACCTAAATGTTACAAGTTAACATAAAATACTATGAGCAATAATGATTGTAAACACAGGTTGACTGGTATTTTCTGTACACTTAAAACACATCCATCTCTAAGAAAGTATCATTACATATTTGGAGAGTGTTGATGGTGAGGTAATCACTTAGTTGGTGAATTTATGAGTAAATGTATCCAGAAATAAGAAATATCTGAAACAGCTAGTCGTATTTGCAAATTTCGGTGAAATAAGAAGACTTCACTTATCTAAAATATATAATCTAAGGGCGAAAGGCGTTTCGAGCAATTCGGCTACAAACTTACAGTCACGCACTTTCACATGAAGTAAAAAAGAAGGATAGATGAGTTTAAAAATAGTCAATATGACAAAGGCTCAAGTTAGTTCATACGGAAAGAAAGCAATAGAACTTTGCTTTCCCTCTATATTATAATTAAGCTGCGAAGGCGGGTTTTATCTGACAATAAACTCTTTGTGAATGCAAGTTTTAACTGTCGTATATCCAGAGTTTAATCAAATTCAGCCATAAATGGCCCATAGGTTATCTAAAAAGTCATTAAAGATGCATACAAATTCACCTTATGATCCCTTTTAGTGGAAGCATTTAGCAATAGACAAAATTGTACATCTACTGCTTGTGTCACCAGGATCATTCGACTTGATTTGTTCTTAAAAACAATTTATAATGTACTCTGAGGCTTTTACATGCAATGATCGACAGATCCCTCACATGCATCTGTTGTCACATATGAATCCCTCATACACGGTAGCGTGATATATGTTTACTTATCTTGATTTGACTGAATAATGGTTGTTCTTTGTTCGGAACTTCTAATATACCTCAGAGGATAACTGTTATCTAGTAACACCTTGGTACACATTTAAGTTTCCTCCTCTAAATTATTATTTATACATACATTTTTAATCCGGTTGGATAAACACTTGACTACTGCTTTTTGAACAATGCAAGAACAAAGACATTTGCAGAATGAAATGTACAAAAGGTGTTTAGTTCCAGTTTAATAATTAATTATACTAGAAAACTTATGGAGTGGTTATTGGTTTACCACTAGGACCTATCCTAGCTTATACATTCATCGCTGGTTTCAAGAAAACAAGTCTGAACGCTGTGATCAAGGAAACGATACGTTACTGCACGTATGTCGATGATGCTTTCATCGTTTGTGATAATATGAATCATGCGTCAAAGTTGTTCGACACCTTCAGTCAAGCTCATCCAAATATTAATTTAACAATGGAATATAAAAATGAGGATAGGTTTAATTTCTTGGATCTAAGTATAATACGAAGATGAGATCGTACAGTTGATAAAACTATCCACAAAAAAGATAGGTGGATTGGTCAGTACCTTTACTACAATATCTTCTGTCCTGTTACCTATAAGCGCGGTTTAGTCAGGACGCTATTCACTAAAATAAAAAGGCTATGCTCTAAAAATAAAGAAGAATAAGAATTCGGGATAACTGAGAAAGCTTTTATAGAGAATGGATATCCGAAGAAATTCATCATGAAGTATGGAAAAGATTACACTGGGAGACCAAAACATCTAACTGTTGAGAAGCCTGTTTTCTTGCTCCTAGCAGTCGAAGGTGATGAGACATCTGAAAGGATAGACAGAAGAATAAAAGCTGCATTGTGAAGAAAATTCTATACTGCCAGACTGATCTCAGTTTACAATACATTACGCTCAATAACACAGTCAAAACTAGGCAAATACCCGTCTCATGTCACCTCGAACTAAGTATATCAATTTACCTGTGCCCGTGGAAGCAAGTACATAGGACAACAAACCGAAAGAAAGGCGTCTACTCAATTTTATGAGCATATTCTGAGAAATCTGTATTTTAATGGTAGAAAGGTCTCTAAAAGCGCAATCCCTCGGCACCCCTCGACATCAAACGGATGTTTCTGAATCTTTCAATAAACAAAGAACACCATGTTTATTACGGTTTGTGGAAGATCTCGCTATGAAACATTTTCAACCTGACCAATGTACTCAGAAGGAGACCATGATTAACCTTTCTTTACCTCGGTAAATGTATTTATCTTTTGCCTATGTATGTAATATAGTCTTCGCTTTTCTTTTGGTTTCATCATCTATACATCAATTACTTACTGAATATTGATCACTTAACGATTTTCAAGTTTTTCATGCAGTTACGTAACCTACTGGTCCTTCTTTTACACTGATTTCCGTTATTTGTCCCCCCACTCCACAGCTCCAGAACTTTCTATCTCACTGGATATAAATAGCCATAGATTTTGACTAAGATATATTTCCTTGACTTACTACCTTAATGTTAATCCTGGATTTCAAATCTCCATTTATTTTTACATGTTTAAAGTATGTTATGTTATTATTACTGCTAATAATTCATTTGAATTGTAGTCTATTTGCAGCTGGTGAAAGGCCAAGGAATAGAATGAACTCATTTTGTTCTACAAATGTCTTTGTTCTTGCATTGTTCAAATTTACCAAGGGAACTAAATGTATGACACTTGACTACTAATCGTCTATACCTAGGTGGACGGAAATTATGATAATTTAGGTAATACAATTTCCATGTAGATTTCCTACAGATAAATCGTTTTCTTGACCCATCTTGCCGATAAGTTGTTAGAATGTTTAAGAATGATAGTTCATTGTATTTTTCTTTCTCACATGCCTGGATATTCTATTGTGCGCTTTTTCACTTGAACTGGAATCAGAATAGCGTCTCCCGGCTTATGACATCCATTAATGATGTCATCGACATACATTTTGTAGGAGGGAATTTTCGCAGTCAAATTTCAAACCACACCCCTAATACGTGACGTGTAGCTGTTAGCTAATAAGAAAAGTGAAGGACTTTTCATGGCCACATCGTCGATTTGGTGGTAAATGTTCACCGTCAAATGCAAATTTGGTATTACTAGTGAATAAAAGAAAAAGCTCTTTTGAATAAAGAAATAGAATAGGCGAAGGAATATAGTTGGCATAGATGAAATCAAATGAAAAATACTGACCGTCTGAATCAAAGGAACATTCCCAAACAATGAATCGATATTACGACAAAATTTGTTCTTGCTTTTAGGATTAGTGCCATGATAGCATTCAGCCGCCTTGAAACTATCTATTAAGACAAGCCAAAAAGATAACTTAATGCTAAAATCATAGAAATGGTAGTTAATTGAATTAAACATCTTAACTCCATCTATTGTGATGGTTTAGCTAAACACAATCTTGCTGTTTGTTGAACAGTTATTGTAGCATACTTCAATGTTCAAGGTATCTAACTGCAAAATGTTTGCGCTAGCAAAGAACTTGAGACAATCGACGTAAGTATTTATTTTTACTCAAGTATAGTTTTCTGTAAAGGAATATAGCTTTAAGATTAATATACATTACTCACCTATAACTCAGTAAAATGATTAGATGAAAGCAGATAAATGCAGCACTGAAAAATGTCTCTTTTTGTCAAACAACTTCATCCTCCCCGTTGATAGCTTAAACTCGTCATACTGCTGATATCAAGACCCTTTGTGAAAGTTAATTTTAAGTGAAATGACTGAAGGCGATACAATTTCTTCAAAATCTGTTAGAAGGCTGATTTTGCTGAAAATGTTTTTCTAAGTCTGTTTTTATGGTCATAGCAAGAAATATTATCACATGGTAAAAAAAAGAATTTTTTCGACCACACTCATGTTGGTGTTGAAATTACCAAGGCAGGTGGAAGCAAGAACAAA